GTGGAGTTTCCAAGTGGGTGCTCCCATTTTGTGTTCTTAGTAGGGTGCCAGCATTTGCACAGCATGGCTGTCTCATATACCTTACTTTTATGGTATTTGTCCTTTGTAAAATCCCAGCAGAATCATACATAGAGGGGATGGAGTGATACATATGTTCATTCAGAAATATGTCTTCAAATTAATACTACTGATAACAAATAATGAACTAAAGATAATAGCAATAGCTACCATTTATTGAACACTTACTATGCACCAGGAATTGTGCATAGTAAGCACTTTACACTTTCCATATATGGTCTTATTTAATCTTCACAGCAATTGCCCTTGAGCTTTTTTGTTGTTCAGTTGCTCAGTCCTGTCCAACTCTTTGTGACCTCATGGACTTCAGCACGCCAGGCTCCCCTGTCCTTCACTACCATCTAGGAGTTTGCTCAGATTCATGTCCATTGAGTTGGTGATGCTCTTATTTATCACAGCAACTGCCCTTGAGGTAGGTTCTATGATTATTTTCATCTTACAGCTGAAGACCTTGTGGCTTATTACAATTTAGCAATATCATGTTCTTGTAGTTTTTTTTTTTTATCATGCCTGACTCCTTCCTGACTCTGGGCTTCTACATATTCCTGTTCTCTCTGCCTGGAAAGCTATTCCTGCCCTCAACTAAGTTAACTCCTACTCATCCTTCAGAGCTCACCCTAAATATCATTTTTCACGAAGCCTTCCCCCAACCCCGTTAATAAGTTGTCTGCCTTGGTATATACTCTCATAGCACCTTGTATTCCTTCTTTACAGAACTTATTACAATTTGTAGGTTTAACTTGTTACATTTGTCTTATCGACTAGACCATGTGAGGAGGAGCATAACTACATCTGTCTTATTTACTGTAATGTTTCTGAAGATGTAAAAGTTCTTAATAAATACCAGTTGAATTAATGAATTTATTCAGGGTCAAAGAGGAAGTAAGGGAATCTGGATATAAAACAAGGTTGGTCTGACTTCAGGACCTGCAGAACAAGTTATTGTGTGTATTTTGCTACATTGCCAATGATAAGGAACAGAGTTGACCCCATACTTCATCTGGGAATTGGAAAGAGATGTAGAGGGGCAATAGCTTGTGCTGGGTTGGAAGAGTGGAAAGAGACTATGAGGGTCAAGGAGAGAGTTGGCTCTGCAATTAACACCAGAGCCCTTGTGTAGAGGCCTATTAGAAAAGTCTTCCATTTTATGTTTTGAGAACAGAAGGAGTTCTAGGAATGACAATCTAAATTATGTTCTGTTCCTCCTGCTAAACAAGTAAGTTGCTTAGATGACTGACCATGAATGTGTGTTTCCAAAACACAGTGTCTTTCCTCACTGGTCCCTTTTCCCCTAACCTTCCACATTCCTCCTCAACAGCTCCCTGTTCACGAAGTGCTGGGGAAAGGCAGTGTAGCTCCAGCTACTCCAGAGAGAAGGAAAGCAGCAGTCCCCAAAGATCAGTTGAAGAGTCAGGAGGAGGAAGGTGAAGCCTGTGCTCTAGGCAACTTGGACAAAGCCTGTGTCACTTGCGGTCCCACTAGAGCCTGGAACCTGAATTGGATTTCTATGTAGCCAGGGATGCAGTGGCAGAGCACTACAGTGACCTGAAGGTAATATAAACTTGGGTTATTTTATTATTTTAAGCCTTTGATTAAATTCCTTTGAGGAGGGAGTTACCTCTGATGGCTCTGATAAGCTCCTTGTGTCTGGACCTGGTGGGTTCAGTCTCTCATTGTTTCTTAACCATGAACAACATTTGGCTGTAGCAGTCGAGGTGAAAAGAGGGCTGCACAGGGAGGGGAAAGAGTCTTGTTGCCATCAGAAATGTTGTCAGGGCTGGTCCTGGGTTGAACTTTGTTCAGAGCCACTGGGCAGTGAAGCCCGCCCAGCTCCTCCCTCCCCTCACTCCCACCTCTCTGTCGCCAAACTTAAGTGTAGTGGTTCCTAACATTTGCGAGGAAACTTTGAGAACTAATGGAAGATTAAATGTATGTACACATAAAAATTTGCATACTATTCTGGGAGTTCAGGCCCAAAGGGCCTTCTGTGGACCTTTAAGGACCTTGTGAACTCCAAGTTTGGAACCTCTGGTGTACCGTCTTTTTCTTGGTCTGGAATAGCAGTTGTGTATAGAAGTTGTAGCATTCCTAGGTCTTATAACACTCTTTCTTGAAACATTACAGGTGCTTATGAGAAATCTGGGGGTCCCATGGAATATGTAGTTCATAAATAATGCCACCACATTCTGTCACTTGTATCTAACATTCACCTTGTTCCATGCAAATGATAAAATATCCTTGTCAAAAGTTTGTCTAGCCTCAGCTTAAGCACTTCCAATGACAGGGAATTCACTATCTTTCCTAAGATAGAGTCTAGTTTGTCACCCTGCATATTTAAGTGTACTGGAAACTTAATAGTTCAGATGATTGTTATATAATGCATTTGCTCTCTCTAGCCTGGCATTTGCATCATATACCTCTTTGCTAAAAGTTTCTGTGTCTTTGTCCATTCACTCATTTACTCATTCATTCTTTCAACCAACCATTTGTTTATTCAACAAACATTTCCTACATGTTTGTTTTGTTCCAGGAACACCCTAAACACTGGGAGGGGATGAAAAGAAATCGTCTCTGTGCATGTTTTCATCCAAAACCAGAGGTCCAGAGCTTATGACTCTACAATCCCCTCTAGGTTGGCACAAAATCCATTACTTTAACACTTAGGGGATATGGTGTCTTTAGCTGCCGATTGATCTAGTGGTACTAGGTCATCCATCTTATACTTTAATTTCCAGAATTTATCTTTTCCCTCTTTCTGACCAGGAGAACAGATGCCTGTTGACATTTTCTAGCAACGTGCCCTATTCATTGTTATTCCTAAAGTTCCAAGAATGCCTCCCATATGACCTCCTTCTGCATCTTGGGATCCTTCTGTTCTTTTGCCCTCTACTTCCACACAGAGGAAAAAGGTAAGTCCTGACCCTAGGATTTGGAATATTTTCCTTTTCATTACATTGGCATTTTCCTTGTAAATCCCACCCTGTAGTATGGTGCTTGTGGCCTTGCCAGGCCCATGTCAAGTGCCTTGCTAGAGTAATACTCACTCTACTCACAGGGAAGTGCCTGCTTCCTATTGGTTAAAACAGATCTCACTTATCTCACAAGCCCTCAGAAGTTGGGGCTATGTATCTAGGTAGCTGACCATAGAGAATATAGGTAAAATTTTGGCTTTAAAATAAAGGTGTGATGCACATTAAAAATGTGATAAAAAATGTCACACAGCTGATTTTTACCCTCTCCCAGAGACCTCTAGAGGTGGTGTTTCTTCCCTGTAGCCCAACACAGACATTGCCATCAGCCTCTTGGCTCTCCAAACCCTCCTGTTGGTTCTTCAAAGCGGGGCATTACCCCTTTTAGGAAACTTCCCCTACTTACCCTAGCCCTGTGAGATCTCTGCCTTGTTGGTTCCATTGGCAAGCACTCTAGTCTGTAATCACATACATGGTGCAACTTAGCACTTTCTATCATACAGCTTTATTTGCTCTTTCATATATGTATTCTCTTTCGAGTACTTAGATTTGAATGAACTTCTGTAGAGTTTATGGTTTTGACTTGAAGTGAGCTGCTATCTAAACTATTTGTTTCACCAATCAGTTGGGAAAATAGTAGATGTCACTGAGGAGCATCAGGAGAAACTATCCTAACTCCAAACCTGCTACCACCAGTACTTCATGGTGCCAGGGTGCCAATGAGACTTTTATTCCTTCGGTTCTTGTGTCCAGACAGCATTTACTTTGAAAATGCAAATAGCCCTATACTCCCACCTCAGTAATTATCAGTAAAGGGGTCAGGGATTTTAAAGCAAGATATCTAAGAGGCTGTTCTGAAGAAGGGAGAGCTCCAGGAATACCTTCCCCACTTCAACTACAGCTACTCTTCTTTTATGGACTGAAGTTATCCTAAAACTTCATGTATAAGTCATTCAGATACAAAAAGAATTCTTTCTGAAAATTATTCTTTTAGAGTACTCGGTTTCAAACTTTGTTGTGCACAGGAATCCTCTGGAAGGCTGTTAACATACAGATAGCTGGGCCTCACCCCCAGAGATTCTGACTTGGCAGGTCTGGGGTTGCTGCTGCTGCTGCTGCTAAGTCACTTCAGTCGTGTCCGACTCTGTGCGACCCCATAGACGGCAGCCCACCAGGCTCCGCCGTCCCTGGGATTCTCCAGGCAAGAACACTGGAGTGGGTTGCCATTTCCTTCTCCAATGCATGAAAGTGAAAGGGAAGTCACTCAGTCGTGTCCGACTCTTCGGGACCCCATGGACTGCAGCCTACCAGGCTCCTCCGTCCATGGGATTTTCCAGGCAAGAGTACTGGAGTGGGTTGCCATTGCCTTCTCTGAGGTCTAGGGTAGGACCTGATAATTTCCATTTCTCACAAGGACCCAGATGATATTGCTGGTGAAAAGACCATATACTCTAAGAACTGTTGCTTTAGGAAAATGTGTTAACAGGTTCCCAGAACTCTCTAGGAGAAACACTGGAGGAGGATAGGGGTAGGGGTTTAGAGAGAGAGTGGGAGAACACCTCTGGAAGGGAAGGTTGACTGGTTCAAAAGATCATTGATTGCTGTTTATTTCAAATTACCTCATCTTCATATGTTAAGTAAGAAGGGCTTTGGGCCCTAACCTAATTCCAAAGGAGGGTTTCTCTATGCTTAGTCCTAAGCACAAATGGGAGCTTCCATAAGAGCTAATGGTCCAGGCCTTTCTGAAGCTTTGATTCACCACTAAGTGTAAAGTCACAGAACCAGAAAGAACTTCAGATGGGGCTCCTAGATAATGCTAGTATTGTAGATAGTGAGTCACCTAGGCTAGGCAGTGTGATGCCAACATTAAGAAATTCTAATGAGTAGCAAAAGAAGCCAACAAACCTTCTAATCTTACTAAGTGTACAAATCAATAGAGTTAGACAGTGGTTACAATATAAAGACAATTTTATTGCCAATAAAAGCCTTTGATAACTCATTTATCCTGTTTCAGTAGGACCTTATTCTTTCTGATGAAAATCCAGTCATAGCATCTCTCATTAAAAATAAAATTATTTTGAAATAAATAAATATATAAAATAAATAGCATATACATTTCATAAATAGTTTGTCTTTATGCACAGTATCCATGCTTACATTTTAATGTCATTTTCTTACAACCTACCCCATCTCCCACTTTCAACGTCAGGAAAACTGCATGTCAGGACAGATGATAAATCTGCAGAGCCAATACAGGAATGGCTTGCAGTAGGGCTGGAGCCCCAAGGATTTTCTTAATGAGACTTCTCCAAAGCTCTGTAGGTAGCATCTATGGCAGATTCCTTGGTCTTTCATTTACCCACTTTAAGGTATTTGGGTAGATTGTGGGGCAAGACACCTCTGGCCCTTGGTAGGGGGCCCCATTCTTTCTTGTGCCACCTCAGGGGAAAGAACATGAGTAAAGAAAAAAGTATATACAAGATTCCCTCTAGACCTCCCCATCCCCCCACACCCCTCCCCAAAATAACCCAACCTTGATATATACTTTTGAACAATGAAGGAACAGCTGGGTCGAGTTGAACAGTAAGTGCTTCTTTGTTATCTAAATTGATAGGAAAGAGGATTGAAAAGCTATGAGTATAGTGCTTCCAGGGACAACTGTGGCCGCAGAGTATATGGGTCACAGAGGTCACACTAGGGGTCTGTTACCTATAGCGGAAGAGGTCTCTGGACATGGTGGGCAACTTAGAAGGATCTACTGGCCTGGGTAAAAAGTGGGTGAATTTCTGGTGTCGTTTAGTCCGGTATCCCTCCCGGGGTGAGCCGTCTTTATTCAGGGCCACATAATACTGTCTCTCCGAGTCCGAGTGTTTGTACAAGGTGGAGGCATAGGTGTTGTACCAGTTTTCTTCAAACTGTTCCCGGAAAACACATTCACGTGTGAGTTTCTTCTGTGAGGGTGAGAAAATAAAGCAGAGCCCATTATATGACTATTTCTCCCATCCCAGCTTGCTGGTGGAGAAACTAAAATAATAAATAGCACATTTATATTAGAAAATTTCAGGCCTATCTCCCGGTATTACTGAGGCATCTTCTTCCCAAATACTATGAAACAGTCTTGTTTGTATTGCTTTCACCCTCTTTCATGAGCCATGCAAAAATGTTTCAGGTGAGATCTTTTCTGAAAGCAAGAGACTGGAAGAGATGGGCTCACCTGGCACTCTGAGCCTGAGAATTTCTGCCTCCCAATGCCAACTGACACCTCTGAGCTTTCTCCCTATTTAGGGCTAAAGATGTTCAAATCCATTGAGATTGCCGTCAACCACATCAACTGACAGGCAAAGGCCTCAGATCTATATAAAGCTCCATGGGAGGCGAGCTGTGATCTCTCCTAATGAAGGGTCTCAGGGCCTGTCAGTTGGAAAGCTCAGGAAAAAAATCTCCTTGAGAAGTTCCTCCAATCTGGCTACTTCAAGCTGGCAGCTCCTGGGTCTCTTGCCTCTATCCCTTCTCACACTTGATTCAGCCACAATACTACTTGCTGGGGTTGCCGATACTGAGTGCTGGGGACAGGCCTATCTCTTAGGTGTCAGAGAAGAATGTGCTCTGATTTCATGGGATGCAGGCAGCCAAAAAGTATGCTCTGTGACTCAAAAGCCAAAGCCAGGAGTTGGGATCCCCCAGAAGGGTTAAGATCAGCAAAGTCACTCACCATTCCCCAGCTCTGGGCTGGATTCCAGAATAGAGAACATGTGCTGCAGCCAATCCAGTCCTAGCTGGGGACTTAGGGCTGTCACCAGACCCTGGAATCCTCACTCTTCATTTGTTTGTTTGCTTCATTTGGCCTTTGGGATTCAGCTGAAGCAATTTGGACATCAAAGACTTTGTTCTTTATTTCAGAATCCTCAATCTCAAGGCCAGCTCTCACTGCCTATTTTTGTGCCAGCTAGTTGGCTACTCCTCTGAGTACCCATCACAAGTCAGATATACTCCTTGGGAGGGTTAATGCTTCAAACCCTTACCATCTACTGACAAACCAGTACAGCTTCCTATTATTATCAGATGAGCTGACACTCTAACGGAGAAGGCAGAAGCAAATATACCACAGAAAAGCTTCTGTTTTCATGGGGACTGAATGAGTGAGAGTGTTATGTAGCAAGTTTCTGGGCAGTCAAGAATTGACTAGAAGACACTAATCCTTTAAAGTTGACAAAAGTGCTTTTAAATGCTAGATAAATGTTTTGCCTTACATTATCCAAACACTGGTGGTAATAGCTTCTGAGAGAAAAACAAACAAACAAACAAACAACTTACCGACCCATAGAGTTCTCCTCGCTCGTTCATTCCTAAATACAGGCCAGAGTCCACTCCCCGGATGCTGATCAGCCCTACAGCCAGGCTGATAAACTCCAGAATTCCTAGAGCAAAACAGTGAATGCCATTTCCATCACTGATATCAAGCTAACAGAAAGCTGTCCGGGTGACATGAGCTGGTCTTTTATCCCCAACTGAAGGCCAGCACCATGTGCCTTTGGTGAATTACCTGACGAAACCATCTTTTGCAGCAAGGACGGAACCTCAGAGAAGAAACTGAGTCTCTCTGGGCCTCAGTCAGTCCATATGTAAAATGGGGGACAATCTCTGCCTCTACTCAACACTCTTAGGCATATAATAAGGAAGAGACTGTGAGAAGACTTTGGCTACAAAAGCTTCATAATTTCAAGGTACTGTTAAACGCCACCATTTCAAGAAATAGGAGGGCAGCTTTTGAAATGAAACAATGTGGCCAAGTTTCTGTATCTTCCCAAAGTCACTTTCTGATTCCCCAGAGCTCACAGCATTACCTTGCTGTCCTCTAGGCTGAACTTGTTTTGTACCCTCTTAGCTCCCATGTCCCTAAAGCCACATGAGGCTGTCAACTGCCTGTAGCTGACTCTAACAAAGGCCACACAGGCCACTCACTAAATTTGTTCCTCTGTCCTATGGCAGGAAGCAAAACTTGGCCTGGTGAGAGCTTTCTCCTCAAAAGTACTTTTGGCCAGTGCAGCTGCAGGCCGACAAGCCTGTCATTTTCCCCTTCTCTCTTGTGGATTTTAAATCTATCTATGGCAAAGAGTTGGCAGGTAGTATTAGACTTGATACTGATTTGAGATGTTGCAACTTTAAGGGGAAGAGGAAGATATTCAGAAATGTTCCTCTAGTTGACAAAGTTAGAGGTGAGGATTTGAAAACGTTTTCATTTACCCAGCAGTAGCAGGGGGGAAAAAAGACATTGAGTACTAAGAGGGAAAAAGGAACCAGAACTGAAATCCTGGGGATACTAATGACTTCACAATTTTGTTCTAAGGTAACACATCTATTATATGGATACAGATGCAATGGTCAACTAGATTTCTTTTTGATATTCTCTAATCATGATTTTCAACATATAGGTTAAAACTTGATACAACTGACTCCAGAGGCATCCAAAGGTATGAAATGAGCTCATATCTGGCTGTCTTTCTTATCCAAAAATGTAATTCTTAAGGGTAGTAATATTCTATGAAATCTACACAGGGAGTAGGACTGATTCCTTAAAGATCTCCTTAAAAAAATTAAGTGGTCAATTTTGAAATCAGGTTCAAGAGTCCAGCGGGAAGTCTTCTGAAAAGCCCCAGTGATTCGGGCCAGTGGATGGGTATTCAGGTATGGAAGCTTTTAGGGCACATACAGACCTTTTCAAAGAATGTAACTCTCTTCTGCTCCCACTGTACGGAACACTCAAAGCATAGCCTCTGGCCTCTAGCATTGACATCCTCCAAGTTTTATTCTCAGTCTGGTGGTTACTAACTCTCATAGCACATACACACACAAGAGTTTTGGAAAAGGAGATTGACACAAGATGGTAGGAGGGGAGGGGAAAATTACCTGGTGCCAAGTAGGGGTTAAGCAGATACTGATTTAGTGGGCCAAGACTTTTAGTTACACTGAACAGGATTCTGATTTTGGTTCTGCCCTGTTTAACATTTTAATAAATGACTTATAAGAGGACATGGGGACTGTTTACCCTAGTTCCAGAAGACATACAGCTGAGAGGGTAACAATAAAAATCCAGAGATTTTAAGAGAATGGAAAAATGGGCTGACTCAAACAAAATAAGCTTTGATTAGAATAAATGTAAAGTCCTGCACTTTGGTCCAGAAACCAGTTAACCAAGATGTTTTGTGTTTGGGGTTGTGTTGAGGGAGGGTGAGCCTCAAGTATTAATCATGAATTTATCTATTTCTTTCTTTTTATTTCCATACTCCTCCCCCCTCCAGGAAGCTATGTATATTTTCTTGAAAACATTGGACTGTTGGACTACTCTTGTATTCCTGTGCATTTTTATTAACTATATCTTGGGATGGGGAGATGTGGCTTAGCAAAACATACACAACAGCAGCTTATGGAATCTGATTGAACAAGGTAAGCTCAGTATGGCTGAGTCACGAGATTTTAAAAAGCTAATGTAAGTTAGTCATGTAAAAATTAAAAATTACTAAAAAGCCAATAAACAAATAGAAAAAAGGAAATAAAAATTAATATGATTTAAGACTGTATTGATTGAGATCTAGTAACTGGCATAAGGGCAGGGGTTGCCCCATTCTACTCTGCCTCAAATCACAGTAAGAATGCAGTTTTGAATTCTACTGTGTTTAAAGAGGGCCACAGAAAGCCAGAAGGGTGTTCAAAGGAGAGTGGCCAGTATGGCCAGGAAATGAGAAGTCAGGTCATGATTCAGTTCTGGGTGATAAACATTGAGGGATACCAACCTGCTGGAGCCTTCAGTTCTTTGCTTTGCTTAGGCAGTTTACTTCTGAGCTTTGAGTCTTGGTTCCCTCATTCTCTAAGTATCTCATGTCTCTGACCACCCTGAGCTCATTAAGTAGCAGAGGGCAGCTTGTGATCTCACCATCCAAGACCTGGTGTGAGAACAAATCATGAAACCCAAGAGGTGTGGCCTTTGAGTCACCACGGTTTTTCTCCAACTCTGTTAACCCTGGTGCCAAAGGACAGATCATACAGGAAGTCACTTGGGTTGTGTCCAGTAACCAGGGGTCTCTAACAGTTGGAATCATCCCTGCCCAGCTGTCTTTGGGCATCATTTCCCTTTGCCAACTTTCCTATTAGCTGGATTCAAACTGTGGGAACCCAGTGGCACATGATGATGGAACAGATATTCCTAAACCTTCTCTTGAATTCCAGCCAGCATGAAGGGAGAGAGAAAATAAGCCAGTTTCACATTTTCCCAACTACAGCTGGAGAGGGGTGTTAACAGCAAAATGTTGAAGCGAAGTATTAAGTAGACAAAGTTTGTCCTCAGTGCTTTCACCCCCTTCAAAGCCCAGGACCTCCCTCTACTCTGCTTCATCTTGACCTGCCCACCTCAGGCTCTGGCCTGTGTTTGATAATTTCCAGACTCTTCTTATACCTTCTCTCCCATGGCTTCATTCAAAATGAATCTGTTCTGGGTCCCACTGCTTTAGAACTTAGCTAGATGACTGGCTAATATGTCATTTAATCTAGTCCCATAACTCGCCTGAATGCCCTCAGCCATCCTTTCAGCCCTTCAGGGCCAAGGCAGTGCTGTTTTGGTACCTGGCCAAATAAGAACCAGATAGCTCAAAAACCAAAGCAGCTGCATGAGCCTGTTCCATCCCACCTGGCAAGAGGCCTCTCCTCCAATCTGGCTCCCAAGCTCTATTCTGCCAGCCCACAGGTGCCCCTCAGGAATGTCAGTATCCTTGTGAACCTCATGTAAACGCCACCAGCCAGGCAGAGACTGAAATACTGCTGGCTACTGATTGCAGAATGGGGGATGGGTGGAGAGGGGGAGCATAGGCTGTGCCAACAGGTTATTATTTGGAGTCGAGGCTGCTCTTGGGCTCAGCCTGACTCTTTCTGAATGCATGGATTCCAGGGTAATCCTTGGGGGCCCTGCTCTCCAATTACAACAAATAGCTATTTACTTTACATGGCCTTTGGAGACTACCTCTTCCCCCCAAGCAGAAATCTATAATATTTTATATCTTAAGTCTGGCCTATTTTACCCTGCTGGAATGTTGACTGCTAAAGCACTTATGGAATGTTAAAGTTTCGATTTATTGAATACCCTGGCTGATTAACTCAAATGTGGAGCGAGGAAAGAGTCAGCAAACTCAAACACCACCTCTTTCTTTGCCAAAAACTAAACTGAAGAAGAGTAAATGTGTGCTTGAAAGTTGGTAAGGGATGTTAGTTACAAAGAGACAGCTTTGACCACTTATCATTTCCTTTACAGGAAATACACGGATCTGCCAGGAAGCCAGGGAAGGAGGGAAGGGAAAAGGTGATGCAGAGGTGGTCTCTGTGAGTGAGTGAGTGAGTGTGTTTTAGGCAAAACCCAAAAATGAAGCAGTCAGTTAAACAGCAGTGAAAACACCCCTTCCTCCTGCCAGTTTTATTTCCTTTGGTTTCTCCTTAAACTTAACACCCTTAGCAGTTTGAGAGAGAAAAGAAATCAAGATGTGTCCTTAGGGAGGTAATTAAAGACCACTTATCCCAAGAGCCTATTATGATTTACGTTGACCTTGGAGGTTATTGGGCTCAGCTTAGGCACAGAGTCAGACAAACACTTGTAGCTGCTGGGAGTCAAAGTCATAGTTTCTCCACCTCTGTGCCCCCCCCCTCACATTTCTCCATCATTTCAGGATTTTTCTTCTATAGCTCAGGAATGAGCTACCCCAATATCTTTAGGCCATTTCTGGGAGCTATGGGGGGGCTCTGAGGCCAGGGTGGGAGTCCCATTCCTTCTGAAGAGGAACAAAATGGGACTACAAAGTCACTGGCAATGGAAGGGAAAGGAGCCAAGTTAACCCTCCCTCTCCCCTCACCCCACCCCACCTTATCACCCTTTTGAGGACCTGCTGCAAGTTTATACAGACACCTGCACCCCTCCATTACTCCCACCCCACAAACAACCTACTGTACTCCAGCTCTCCAAGTACATTTTTCTAAGATGACATAGACCTCATAAGGGTTCCTGCTTGCTCCGCAAGGAAGACCAGCCCTGGCCCAAGTTGTCTGCTAGACTTAGCCTTGCCCAGCTACAGGCCTCCGTGGAGGAGGATTGGGGGGGTGGGGGAAGGGAAGGGTGTCAGACCTGCCAGTAGCAAAACTTCTCACTGGCTTAGGAACAGAAGGTATCTTTGGCCTATATGGTCCTTGGGGAGGAAATGAGGACATTGGGGGATGCTGGGACCCAAGGAAGGGTAGCTGTCACAGCACCTGAATAGTTTAGTAGAGGACAGGAAATTAAAAATAAAAACGGCCAAATTATTGAGGAGTGAACACATTTGCTTGGTAACACAATGATCTCTGTCCCAGATCAAGGTTTATATTAATTGTGTTCTGCATGTGAGACAGGCAGCTGTGCCCTTTGAACAGGCAGAGAAAATCCTTGATAGAGGTAAGGTGTTTTCTGCTCTGGGCCCAGGAGACACCTGTCTGGGGGGCTGGGAGTGGGCCCAGGATCGTTTCCTCACTGAGGCAAGGAGTCCAGAGGTAGCTCCCAGGCAAAATGTGCCCCAAGGCTTATGCCCTTACACACTGGCCACTGGGAGGCTTTCCTAATTTCTCTAATACCCAGCTCCCGCCGTGCTGTCTGGGTTGGCCCCTAACCCAGGCAGAGCAACACAGAGGCAGGCAGGTGCCAAGGCTGTCGCGTCCCCATAGGCCAAAAGCCACTTGGGCGCGGGCCGTCCGCACACAGGGTCCAACAGCTGACGAAGGCTCCTGCTACCGGTAATCTGCCGCGACAACCTTGCTGCCGTCGAGGCTCAGCCTCTCGCTGTAGCCACGTTCCCCGATCTCCTCGGTGGATGCTCCTACCGCCCCCCACCCGGCCACCCAGCTCCACCTGCTTTCCTTGAAAGGGGAAGCGCAGCGTCCAGGTCCTAGAACAATCCCTCTAGCTCCCGGAGGAGGTAGGGTGGGGTGGAGAAAGGAGAGGCCGCATCTCAAGGTGCCCCCGCCTCCTCCCGAGAGCATCCGAGGGTGCCAGGCGCCCCGACGCCACAGCCCTGCTTAAGTCCGCACCCTCACTTCCCGCCTGCCCGCGTCTTCAGCGGCCTCCCGCCTCGAGGAGCCCAGACAGCGCCGGGCGGGGCGGAAACGGCTGGTCCGCCGGCCCCAAGCCGCAGCCTCGAGCCGTCGGCTCCCCAGCGCGCCGTCCGTTCGCCTCCTGTCCCTCCCCCCCGCGTCCTCACCGAAGCGGCTGTGGTCGTGGCGGGTGCCGTGCACCGTGCCGTTGGGGAAGATCTCCAAGTGGAAGCCGGTGCGGCAGTACAGCTGGCGGCGTCGCAGGATCCCCTTCAGGTGGGCGAAGTCGGTGGGCGAGCCGCGCTGCAGTTTCCCCTCAATCTGGCCCAGACGCTCGTTCAGGAAACCCGGGGAATCAGCTAGAGGCACGTTCCCCAGAGACGAGGAGAAGCCGTGCAGATCCCAGTCCAAGGAGGCGAAGACCCCCCCCACCTCCGCCATGGCGGGGCGCGCGGGGCCGAGCCTGACCGCGGGGCGCGAACTGCCTCTCCCCGCCGCGGGCGCGGGCGACTCGGCGGCGCTCGCTCGCTCGCTCGCTCCGAACTCTGCGGAGCTGCTGTCGACGTCTGTTCGCGTCCAAGGAACTTCTCAGCGGCGGGGAGCGTGGGGCAGCGCGCTCCTGACCTTGCACTCAGTCAAAGTGCCGCTTCCCCTCCACATCCATCTCCCCAGGCCTCTCATAGCTGGCTTCGTCGAGCTATCAGATATGCAAACGGCACTTTATATACATACCCACTCCCCTTACATTGACATATTGGATATTTAAATACAAGCCACACCTCAATGGCATCCCCTCGGAGATTGGTGTGTGTGTGTGTGTGTGTGTGTGTGTGTTTTCCCCTCCTCGTATCCTTTTGGCTCTTTTTGGGAGAGGGGGGTGGAGGGGGAGAGAGCGAGCAAGCTTCACTCCCTCTTTTATTATGAAAAAATGGCAGGAAAAAGCTACACATTGCAGTGAGGCATAACTGCTTTTGGCAGGTTTTTCTGAAACTGCTGATGAAATAACTGGAGCCCAGTGCGTGGAGGCTGTTGGCGTCCACTGCCACTCGGGCCTGTTGCGTGGAAGTCTGTCTGTTGCGCGGGGGCAGCACCCACCTCCCGCGCGGCCTCCGGCTGCTTGCCTTTCGAAAGTGGTGTGAGACCTGGGGGGGGGGGGTGTTCACTCGTTCGTGAGTCCCCTCTTGTTCCCCGACTGGTCAGAGGCTGCAGAGGGGCACCTGGCCTGGGTCCTTGGTTTCTTTGTTCTGTTGACCCCCAGGCCCACTCCCCACCTGTATGTCGGCAGGGGGCTGAGGAAGTGAAGAATCTGGAAACGCATGCAGTTGCAAAATGTGAGATCTGGGGGGTGTTCGCGGTTCCTGCAGCCACCCAGGCAGGGGGCCTTAAGGGGTCTGGGAGGAGCGGGAAGCCCCACAGAGGAAAGAAGGCATTTTTTAAAAAGGGACGTTACAGCTTAGGAAAAGGAGGGGGGGCAGTAAGAAATAGAAAGCGATCTTTTTGAAAAATGATCTCCTCTGGCTTTCTGGGCGCGCTTTTACAAGGCTCTCGAGAACAAGCTTGATGAGAGGCCACTGGAAGTCTGGTGGGGGTTTCCCTCCACCTCTTTTCTTGTTGGAAACAGGTGTTTCCTCGCTCTGTCCTGTGCCCTCCTTAGATTCTCTCAGGAAGAGCGGTAGTTGGGGCGGGGGCTAGAGGCACCCAGGGCAACAAGCAGCACTGAGAAGGCTTGGGGGGCTGGTGCCTGGCCTGCCCCACGCCCCTGCCTGGCACCTGAACCCTGGGGCCCCTCTCAGGGTCTGGCGCTCAGCGTCCTGCTCGCCAACTAAACTGCGTTGTCTACAGTTCGCACCCGCGTGGGTGCTCTGTCTTCTCCGGCTCCGGCTGCAGCAGGAGAAAACTGAACTGAGACAGCACCCCATCCCCGCCACTACTTTGCAGCGCCTCCTGCTGGAGAACCTGTGTCTCCGGGCGAGTTGGAATTTAGTTTCTGGAAGGGAAACCCTTTGTTTAATTGTATGTGTGTTAGTCACTCAGTCGTGTCCGACTCTTTACAACCCCATGAACTGTAGCCCGTCAGGCTTCTCTGTCCATGGAATTCTCCAGGCAAGAATACTGGAGTGGATTGCCATTCCCTTCTCCAGAGGATCTTCCTGACCCAGGGATTGAACCCTGGTTTCCTCCATCACAGGCAGAATCTTTACCACTTGAGCTACAGGGAAGTTCTGCAGTTCAATTGAGTTAGTGCAATTAGAGGTCCTGCTCCTGGGCTCCCAGTGTTCACTCTCAAGAACGAGAGAAATTCTTGGTTTGGGACATTGAGGCTTGGTCGTGGTGTGCCTCCCTAGCTCAGACAGAACCTCCACAGAGGAGCGCAAGGTCTGGCACATGGTATGTGCTCAGAAATCGCCTTCTGATATGCACCGAGTAGTGGGGAACACAGATACAAATAATCTTCCGACAGTACAGGACACAGAAATGCAAAAGACAGCGGCTGTATTGGAGTACATACGGTTGAAATGACAAGCTATCTGTGATTTGTTTTAAAGTAATCTAGAGTGAGAAGGTAGAGGGAATGGAAGTTTAGATGAGATAATAATATTGTTCATGTTACTAATTATTGAAGCTGGGTGATGAGTACATGGGTGCTCATTATATATTTCCTCTATTCTCTCAGTAAACACACAAACGTGAAATTTCCATAATGAAAGCTTTTAAAAATGGGACTGCTATAAAACAACAAAGAAATCCGTCTTTCCTTCTTCATTCTTCCCTTCAAAGAGTTTGTGGATTTAGTGAGAAGGTGGGGGAGGTGGGGCAGAGGTTAAGACAAGAATACAAATGGCTAGAATACAAGGCAGTTTAAGGTGTACAGTGCTATATGGATTCAGAAGGCAGAGAGACTATTGTTCTGGGGGTTTAGAGGGGGTTCTGGACCAAAGAGGCCTTTGTGATGGGTGGGCCTTGAAGGGAAGATGGGGAAGATTTTGCAAATTCAGATGGGCCACTTCTAGAAAGAGTAAAATAGTGATAAAGCAAGTGGAACAAATTTAGTTGGTACACACTAATTCTTGGGGGTTTTGGTGAATGTCATATGAAACAGTGTTGATAAAATGGCTTTGAGAAGTATGTGATGTGAAGGAGTTAGATGTCTCTATGATTATATAAATCACACATTGATAATGATCAAAGGCAATTTCTTTAACAGTCACTTCAGGGAACTTCTACATTCTTTATCCCCTAACATTTTCAAAGTCACCAACCCCAGTTGCAGATCTGGAGTCTTACCTGTTCGAATGTCAGCATTACATTGTCCTTCTAGGGTTCTTTTGAGATTAAGCTGACTGATAATTCTCTTTTAAGTAATGTTTCCATGAAGTATCCCAATTGACAGAGCCCTTTCATGAAAGTTATTTAATATTCACAACCTTGTGGAGTAGGAGATACCACTCTCCCTATTTTAGAGGTGAAGTTAAGTGATTAGCACAAAATCATATAGCTAATAAGAAGCAGAGTCATCATTTAATCTCGGATCCACTGGGGGCATTTACTCTCACTGTATGGGCTTTGGGATTATGCAAAGATTGGCATGTGAAGGACGGTGACATTTCAGAATATTTTCGTTTTACAGAAAATCCTCAGCAGGACACAACCTTAGGGCAGCATTGTGCTGGATGTATGGAATGGGAGGAAAGTGTACATAAAAAAGAAGCAGCCATCTCTGGATTCAGGATGTTACTTTTAAAGTGAAGTTAACTGTACCTCTTCACAGTGGTATTGTGAAGAAGAAATGAAATCACTGGTGGAAAGTGCCCAGCATTCTGTCTGGCACACGGAAGATACTCAATACATCTGAGATTACATTCTCCTTTCCCAACACCTCACAGGGAAAATGTGAAAAATTAAGCAACCTATGTGAAAAGGACATGGAAAAACAAAACTCTTTAAGAAAAAATGGGAATTCTGACCCAGGCTATAAGTGACCAGAGGCTGAGGGCAGCCTTTTGGGATCTGTTCCTTGAGGAAGGAGATGCTGAAGCTAATACTGCTGATGCTCACTTCTGCCTCCCCCTGCCCCAACACACAGCTAGGAAAGGGAATAAGATGTGTGAAATTGTTGGTCTACCCACTTTTTCATTTCCGTGACAGCTTATAAATGTTTTTTCCCTTCCTAATGTATTTTTGCTGATAAGGGGCAGTGAGAGCTGTACTGCTGGCAGATCCAGCAGTTAGCTCCATCAGTTGCTCCTGTTTATGGAGTCCTAACCACTGGACCACCAGGAAATTATCCTCTAAGAAATAGTTTTTCTTTAAAAAAATTTTTTATTTATTAATTTATTTGACTGAGCTCGATCTTCACCATTGTGTGCAGACTTTTCTCTAGCTGCAGCCGGCAGGGGCTACTTTCTAGTTGTGGTGTGAGGGCCTCTCATTGCAGTGGCTTCTCTTGTTGCAGAGCACAGGCTCTAGGGCATGCAGGCTTCAGTAGTTGCAGTATGTGGGCTCAGTAGTTCTGGCTCATGGGCCCTGAAGTGCAAGCTCAGAATTTGAGGTGCATGGGCTTAGTTGCTCCTTGACATGTGGGATCTTAGTTCCCCAACCACAGGTTGAACCCGCATCTCCTTCATTGGAAGGTGGATTCTTTACCACTGAGCCACCAGGGAAGCCCCTAAGGAATAGTTTTATTCCCATTTTACTGATGAGGAAACTGAGGTCCGGAAATATTCAGTAACTAGAAGCAGAGGTAGGACCTCTGATCTTAAGAGATAAAACTTTGATCTCAAATTCAGATCTAATCTGGACACTATGCTGCCTCAATCTATATACTTCAAATGTATTGCTCCTTTGTCTTTTGTTTCTTTCTCCCATTTCCTGCTTTCCTTGTAGGCAGCAGTATAATGCAGCAGTTGCACATTCTATCTCTGGTGTCAGACTGCCTATGTTCAAATCTCAGCTTAAAGCCATTCTAGCTGTCAGAGCTTCAGTTTTCCCTTCTGTAAGATACTGATGGTAATGATCATCATAACCACATAGAGGTACTGTGAGGTTTAAGTGAAATAATACACAGAATGTACTTAATATGTGCCAGGTGCATATTAAGTGGTCATTGTTCTTAATATTATTTGCATCCTATCTGTCCCCAGTCTTATTTCCTTCCTGTGCTAAGTTGCTTCAGTTGTGTCCAACTCTTTGTGACCCCATGGACTGTAGCCCGCCAGGCTTCCCTGACCATAGAGTTCTCCAGGCACGAATACTGGAGTGGGTTGTCATGCCCTTCTCCAGGGGATCTTCCCAACCCAGGAATCGAACCTGTGTCTCTTATGTCTCTTGCACTGGCATGAAAGGTTGTTGCTGAACCACAAAAGACACAGGGATTCTTGGCCTCCGGAGGAGAAGAATTCAATATGGGGCCAGAGACGAGGCTTGATCACTCAGAGTTTTTG